TGTGTGACAGATCTACTGAGCCAATCAATGTCTTTGTGCACGTCCAAGTGTCAGTTGAGCTTCATGTCTTTATTTTACCTTGTAAGAAGCTTGATGTCACTTCACAACGTTCTTGATCCTCAGTGCAGTTTCAAATGTCTGCTTGTGATGAAACCTGTTCAAAGAGACTGCGTGTTATTGTTCCAACTAAACAACAGCTTCTTGAGACTTCTTGGGGCAGCTGTGGTGCAGGTATGGCAGCTGACTTGGAACCAGAATGTTGCAAGTTCAAATCCCTGCCATGCCCACATGTCCTGGTGTCTCTGAGCAAGACACCCAATCCCTAATTGCTCCCCAGGTGCTTACATAGCTGCCCACTGCTCCACCTGGTGTATCTCATGAGTGATGGGTGAAATACAGAACACGAGTTTCATCATCATACAGAAACATACGGTGATGGCAACACGTGTGTCACTTTCACTTTGAATTAGAGCGGTTTTTAAATTCACACGTGTCATAATTTTTTATTTGTATTAATTTAAACTGTAAAAAAAACAACCTTTATAGAACAAACCCCTTATGATGCAGTTGTAGAATAGAAAGTGATGAGTTTTACCATCTGTGGGATTCAGTCTATTCTTTGACCTCCGCTCTTCTGCCTCACAGAGTTGCCCTGTGGAAAAATAAGTGGATTACCTCAAAGGTCACAGGACGGCTGCTTTCTGTCAGAGGAACTTGTCTCTTTGTGCACCAGTGTGTGTGTGAGAACATATTAAACATGTTTCTTGAAAGGTCATTTAAGACTCTGTAACACCCCGTCTGCCTCACAGTCAGAGACTCTTTGCATTCAAAGTTTCTCTTCACACTGAGATCGATGGCCATGCCCACATACTAAAAGTCAAGGCGCTGCTGGTTGATCCTACATGGACCCAGGAGAAAACAGGACCAGTAAACCAGCGCACACCTGATCCACGCTTACTGTTGCCCATGTGTGGCTGAAGGTTTCTCATCATGGCTTGAGCCCTTTTCTCAGCTAAAACAAAGCTCGATCCGCATCACTGTGTTCACTACACATGACCTTGAAATGTCCCTCTCCAAGCCGAAGACACCCCCCACTTTAGTGGGTACGAATGAAGTCTGAGGAGTGGGTGGGACGAACAGAGAAATGAAAACTGAGAGAGCAATGGAAGATGCATAAGGACAAGAAAGAATAAAACAGCTTGACCTCCTCTTCTCTGCTCCCTCGTTGCTTCTCCTCTCCTCTGCAACCACCATAATAACTAATCACCTCCCACCATCAGAGCAGCAGCTACAGCCCCATTCTCCGAGCGCTCGCTGCATACTGATGGCTCAACCCTGGTGACTGTTGCTAGGACGTGGACTGGAGGGGCAGAAGAGTGAGAGACTTGAGTTTAGTAGATCGACATCACCCACCGAGCAGAGTGTCGCATGTATGATGTCAGAGTGACCTAAACACCCGAGAGAATAAACAACCCCTACACACACACACCTCGATTATAGACGGAGGACTCTTCGTTCACACACTCTGAAACACCGTTCATAAAGTGTGCTGCAGCCAGTCTGAACCTTTTATTCTGACATTTTTCTACTTCTTTCAACAACTTCTGACATGCTTGGCAGGTTTTCATTCACATTCATTCTTCAAAATAATAATTTCTGTCTCATCAGATTTTTCTCCACAGTCTGCCCCCCACCCCCCAACCCCACACACACAGGAAATATTCTCTTCTGTGTCACTGTGATAGTGTTGGTACAATGAATCAATAGAATGGTTACATTTATGAGCCTGCTTTATCTCTTAATATTCAGGTGAAAAGGGGAAAATACCAAAAGTTCTAATAGTTTTGAACAAACAATAGTGGAAATGCAGTAATACCAAAAATCTGACCACAATAAAGCAACTTCAACAACGACTTTGTAAAGATCCTCCTGGTGAGCCAAGATAAAATGCAGCGTCAAAAATAATCCTGCACAAACAGGAGTTTGAAAAATGTCAAATGACAGTTGAATTAATCCAGCAGCGCTGAACATGCGTCCTTACACATGGATTTACAACCTGCAAGCAGAAGCTAAGTGCTGTTTTACAGACAACTCACTGCACCTGTATATTTCCAGGGTAGAGAATTTACAATATTTCATCTGTGATGATCTCAATTCCATTCTCACTGATTATGTAAACATTTTCAGAGACCAAAAGCTTTGAATTATAAAGAGTCGAGATTGCACGCTCAGGTTAAACTCAGAGATGAAGGCAATTGTCCCATTCAGCTCTGTTAGTCTTCATCACCTTATAAAAATAAATAAATAATGCTGTATCCAGGAGCACTGACTTCTTAGATCTCTAGAAAGAGCTGATGCTCCGGAGAGGTTTCTAATAAATGAATACTAAATACTCAGACTTAACTGATATTTTGTGGTGATCTGTACAATTTTAATCACAGAGAGAGGAGACACAGCTTTTATTGCCAGTACAAGTTTGAGTCTTTCAGAAATGGACATTTGGGATCAATGATCAGTTGATGGATTTTTGTAGAGATTACCTGATTACTAAAATATTTCATAGCTGCAGCCCTGCTCAGATGACATCCTCCTTTTTTCACAGTAACCTTGTTCTCCTAAATGCATTCATGTATGTGTTAATCTTTAAATTCACTTCAGTTTATTTATATAGCACCAAGTCACAACAGAACTCTGCTGTACACAGAAACATTCTGTGCATAAAAATAATTTAACATTATTTATCTGAGGAGCAGACTGCTCTGAGTTTAACTCCATCACAGACTCTCATCTTGAGCAAGCATGAAGGCGACAGTGGAAAAGAAAATCTCTCTCATGAGGAAGAAACCTTTAGCAGAACCAGGCTCAGGACAAGCGGCCGTCCGCTTCGACCGGCTGGGTTTGAGAGGAACAGATACACAATGGCAGGTCAAGAATCACGTGTTAAGCTAGAAATAGTATCACATGAAAACTATTCAATTTTAACAATTCATTTAAGGAAATGAGGTCAGTTTGTCTTCTAGTAGTCTAAGCTTAAAATAACATGACAAACCAACCCTAACTATAGGATTTATCAAAAAGGAAAGTCTTAAGCCCAATTTTAAAACTGGATAATGTGTCAGCCTCACGGACAGAAACTGGAAGTTGGTTCCACAAGAGAGGAGCCTGATAACTGAAAGCTCTGCCTCCCATTCTGCTTTTGGAAACTCTAGGAATCACAAGTAAACCTACAGTCTGAGATTGAAGTGCTCTGTTAGGAAAATATGGAACAATAAGATTTGTAATATAAGATGGAGCTAGGTTGTTGAGAGCTTTGTAGGTTAGAAGTAAGATTTTGAATTCTATTCTGGATTTGACAGGGAGCCAATGGAGAGAAACTAAAACTGGAGAAATATGATCTCTCCCACTAACTCCAGTTAAGACTCTGGCAGCAGCATTTTGGATCAACTGAAAACGTTTTAAAGAAGTATTTGGACATCCAGATAATAAACCATTGCAATAGTCCAGTCTAGACATGACAAATGCATGGACCAGTTTTTCTGCATCATTTTTAGATAAGATGTTTCTAATTTTAACGATATTACGCAGGTGGATGAAGGCAGTTCTAGTAACGTTTTTAATGTGCGGGATAAAAGACATGTCCTGATCAAAATAACACCAAGATTTTTAACATTAGAGCTGGAGGCCAGATTAATGTCATTTAAGGGGGGAGAAAGACTGAAAAATTAATTCCTAAGATGCTCAGATCCAAAAACCAAAACCTCAGTCTTGTCTGTGTTCCAAAGCAGAACATTTACGGTCATCCAAGTTTTTATGTTTTTAAGACATGTTTGTAATCTAAGTAACTGACTGGATTCATTGGGTTTCATGGACAAATATAATTGTGTCATCAGCATAACAATGAAAATTTATCCCATGCTGTTTAATAACTTCATCTAATGGAAGCATGTACAAGGTAAAGAGTGTTGGTCCAAGCACTGAGCCCTGAGGAACTCCATGACTAACTTTGGTGTATGAAGACAATTCATTATTTACATTTACAAATTGAAATCTATCTATGGAATCTATCTAATTATGAACTTCATATCATGAGGTGTTCTCAGGTTTTCATCACCCTTTGTCCTGACTAGGGTTGTGAGTCTTTAGGCATCTTCCTATTGGATTTGATTATGAAAACGTTTCGTAAGGCTGTGATACAACTATAAAACCATTACTGATGTTTCTTGATGCAACTGTTATCATACTTGAGCCTAAATCCTGAACATATAATCTCTCGGATCTAAAAGAAATAATATTTTACTTTACACTGTAGTATACAGTAAGATGGTGTTCATTCAAACTAGATTTTTGGGAACTAAATTAACAAAAAAGGAATCAAAACACTGAGTACAATGACAGATTCTGTAGCGATGGATGTCTACGCATCATGTTAGGGCTATCACACCAGCTATCTTCAACCATTCTACAACCATTCTGGTTGTAGAACTTTTAACTCCACTCGTTCCAGGACTCTGGTTAGCAGTGACTGTTCTTATTCTTTCTCTTCTCTGTAGAAACATGTTCACAGCTTAACTGTAGTGTCGATCTTGTGAATTTTGATTTTTCTTTAACTTCATAGAAGCCAAAACATTTCCAAACAGACTTTCAATGCAGAAGGAGCTGCTTGTATGTTCTGGTCAGCCATCTTGTTCTTGGTTGTCTGTTTTGTGCTTTTAAATCACTGCACTTCAGAGTTCCTCACCATAACAATGCTACAGGATAAAAATCATTGTTGGCTTTTTAAAAATAGATTCTAAATTGTTCTTAGCCACATTGTGATGCCTCTGAAAATTTATCCTAAGCCCAAGCTCTGATTTTTGTGTCTCAGAAGGACAAATGTCCTGAGTGTAGGAACTGGTAGCGTTGTGCAATGCTTTTGTTTTTGTTGTTTTGATTGAATTGGGAACTATTTTAACACAAGGTTAAAGAAAAGAGTGGTTAAATGTTTTGTCTTGTGTCTGCAGGTGATCCATAAACATTTCTACCTGAAGAGAGCAGAGATCATGACTCAGTGTGAGGACTGGATCGCTGACATCCAGCAGTACAGCAGTGACAAGAGGGTCGGGCGCACCATGTCCCATCATGCTGCTGCACTGAAGGTAATTTAATGTGGTCAGTGAAGCACAGCAGTCAGAATTACGGTGTGTGTGTGTGTGTGGGGGGGGGGGGGGGTGTTAGGTTGAATCCAGCTACAATTTGATCAAACAACAGGTTTGTTCAGATTTGAAGCTACATATTCTATCAATCATTCAACACTCTCTGCCTGGTGTCTCTGCTTTTTCTGAACCTAGAACATAAAACCTGAGCACACTGTGACTGTGAGATTGTGGTATGACTGTGAAGTTTTCATGCGTTTTATTTCATTTTCAACATCCGAAGCATTACAATTCTTGTCACTGGTGTGCTGTTTGACACAGCTACTATGGCAAAAGCAGGATTTGAATATCTGTCCAACAGTAAAATGCTTTTCTTTTTACAGAAAGCATAAGTTTTAGCATGCAGTCTATGTATCAACCTACCAGTGTGAAAAGGTTTCTTCAAGATTTTCTCAGGACTTAACCAGTGGCCTCATGAAAAGTTATAAAACCTCATTGAAGTCTGTCGGAGCAGATTTTGCTTTGATAGTTCAAAATGTTGCTTTTATTAAATCAACGCAGTGCTCCTTTATCCATGTTGTTTGGCTTCACAGAGGAAGCTGACAGGCAGCAGATCACCACCCTCCCTCATGTACCACTAATAAACAGCGACTGGCTGCAGGGGACACCCCCAGCTGACTGAAGCATCAACCCTGCTCCCTCTCTCTGTAAATCAACACAGTAAATCTCTTCTGTAAATAACAAGCTACACTGTTATTAGACTGAGTCCCAGCAGCTGCAGCCCTCTCTAGTTTCTGTAACTTCTGTGGTTCCTCAGTGCTAGCAGAGATTTATTTGCATCTAGAACAACGTGCGACCTTAGAGCCAGAAATGGCCCTTGGACCATCTCTATCTTACCCCAATTTTCTTAAAGGAAACCAATCAATTTTAAAATAAATTGATGAAAACATGCATTTTATCAATTAAACTTCAATGATCAAAAACAAAATCTAAATAAAACCCAGTTTGCAGAGTAGCATGAGTTGAGTGTCTCACACTGAGAATGCTCTCAACGTTGCCTCAGAAGCTCTTGTTACGTTACGTCAACCAGAACTTGATGAAGATAAGCCTGTCAGGAGGGTGACTTGGTGAGACACTTAGTCATGCTAACACTAATAGCATTCTTTTATGTCTGAAAATCTACTCACTCCCATGTTGTTCCACAGATCTCATGATCTGGGTCAGCTGTTTGTAGCGTTTGTTCTCAGTTCTCCTGTACACCTGGTGCTACACAGAGTACTGAATTAGCAGTGAGGAAGTTGACATCAAGTTTCTAAAACCGAGGAAATGTGTGAGTAGAGGCCCAGCTTGCTGCAGCGCAAATCTCCTGCAGGAAACCTCCTTAAGCAGAGCCCATGAAGAACTTGAGCCCCTAGTAGAATGGACTTGCAGGACCTCTGGTGCTACAGACCTTTTGAACTCCTGGTTAAGACAATCACATCAGTGATTCAGTGGAAAAACTGCTGTTTTGACACCAGCTTCCTAGAATGTCTCTTAGCCCAGAAGACTAACTGTTGGTCACTTTTTCTGATCTGCTTTGTCCTGTCCAAGTAAACGCATGAAGCATGTACCAGGCAGAGTTTAACATCTCCTGCTCCTCAAAGAGAAAGGTGGGAATTGAAAGCCACCAAGTCAGTTAGAGAGTAGGATCTCAACAGTTCAGGCTCAAAAGCAGAGGTTGCATGCAAAGTCATCCTAGTCTTGTCCAGAGAGAAGTCTCTCTCATGGTGCCTGAGATCACTTGCAGGTGAGTGCATCTAGATGCATTCTGCTTGTGCAGGCAGAACAAGGGACACCAATTGTTCTCCTTTGAGACAAATAGTCCACAGATGGTTGTCCATACCTTTGCCAGATCATCCTGACCACCTCTGGATAGAGTTTCCAGTGCCTGAGCAAATGTTTGGTGCTGGTGTGGCAGGGCTGTGGATGCGGGGGCAAACGTACATCTCGGAAGACAAAGCTTTAGCTCTTCATCATCTCTTTTCTTCTCCTCCCATCTCTTTTGCCTCAATGTTACTGCTGCACCAAACAAACCTGTAGGATGACGGGGGTGTGGCCTGGAGATCCTCCAGAGAGATTTATTTTGTGGAGAGTGTGGTGAGCTTTAGCCACCTGTCTCTCTCCTGCAGAACCATCTGTCCTGCCCAGAGCTTGGATCGCCACTTGGCTTGGCTGGAGACTGATCAGTAATGATGCACACTTTGTCCCATAGCACAGCATCAGATGAGGCAGTCATCTGCTCCTCCAGTTCTGCTTGGTAAGCCATGAGCAGGGAGGAGACGTTCAGAGCTCGGACTGGGCACAGCTGATCGATGAGTTCTCTGTCAGGCGAGACTGAAAATGGTCTGTTCTGGAGGGACGAGCAGGGCCTCCTGCCGATATGGAGGTCTTCAGGTGCAGGTACGCCACAGCCGCTGGCTCAACTGGATGCATTTGGCGAAGAGTGTACGTTTACATTTCTTTGCAGTCTAGCCCACCACTGGGAGGTTCTCCTTAAAGGGCGAGAAGGGGAGACTGCCAGTTCTTCCAGCAACTCTGGGAAAAATAACAGGAGTTAATTACTTGCTTTCATAGCTTTGGCAGTTTTTCCCTCATCAAAACACGAGTGGACCATCTTGGCTTGGATTTTGGCCACTGTATGTCCAGCTGTGCAGTGGGTCGTTTGCGTGCAGGTCTAAATCCAGTTCACGTGAGGATGGGTTTTCATGACTGTGTTGGCCCTGCCTGAAAGAGTGAGTTTTGCCACACAACCTAAGGAATGGGTCATAATCTTCACATCTTAAACATCTAACACCTTTTGGGCTATACTAGGTCAAAATAAAATGTTTCTTTTTTTGCTTGTTTACTCGTTGTTTGTGATTCCAAAACCAGACTGAGCATTTATGCTTCTAAAATTCACTTTGATTCAGTTTACATAGCACCAATCCACAACAAAAGGGGTGCTCAGAATATTTGTTGTGGATTGTGACAGCCTGTTTGGTTTCTTCTGTGCAGAGACACACAGCTCAGCTCAGAGAGGAGCTCCTGAAGCTGCCCTGCCCGGAGGGCCTGGAGCCCGACGCCGACGAGTTCTGTGAGAAGAACGCCGCCTTCATCCTCAAAGACATGGCCGGTCAGGATGCAGAGAAGCCCAGTGGCAGTCAGGACAGCCACTGCAGCGAGGGCCAGCTATGAGACTCAACTCCCCCCACCACCATCCTCTTTATGATTCTTTAAAGACTTGATGGCTTCTGAGCCACAACTTTGTCAATATTTGTATGTAAAGATCTAATTGCAGAATAGTTGAAACCGTGGGGACTCTAGAGGCCGACGAGACAAACTGAACTATGCTACGCCCTTATTAAAGAGTCAACAAGATCTTTTATTTACCTGTAAAAGACTATAAACATTTTTTGTGCTTTTTTTCCCCAATTGTGAAATAACCACTGATTGGTATAATATTAAACTTGTTTATGTATACATAATGGCAGAGGAAAAAGACAGATTATATAAGGGAAACTACCTTTAGAGAAGAATGTTTACTGAATGTTTTTTTTTAATCATTATTATTTCTTTTGGTCTGTTAGCCAGAAAACTGTTGTAACCAACCAAGAACATATTGCTGTTTCTTTAAGCATATTATTTAAAAAATCACAGGTAATTAAATCTGACATAAGCCCCACCCCAACCCAGTTATCCCTGGCTGTGTTTGATTTTCTTGGATCATATCCACTTGAATAATGGTTGCAATGGACATTTTAAATGCTATGTTATCCCTTTCATAGGCTTCAAATTAAAAGGCTTTGCCACGCTCTTGATAAACACTTGTCCCTCTCAGAACTTCTCCATGACTGATTTTATTGATGTGACTGTAGACGACGGGTTGTGTGTCCAAATCATGTGTGAAATGAACTTTAAAAGGTTTGTGTGCGTGCGCGTGTGTGCAACAATCCCCAGTGTTCATCCAAAAGCTATGATGTGACTTTCAACTGCACCAAATGCTCCCAACAGAAGATCTACTCAAGTCTCTGCTGTTTTTTTATAGACATCTGCTTCATCTGAAAGCAGACGAAACTGCTTTGATCTTTTTTATTCTGTTTCAACTTCATTGAACTCAAAAACTCTTTCTACCCAACTCAAGTCTCCTAATCCATTTGTGACGACATTAAATGGAGCCTGAAAGTACGGACTGACTGTGCGAATGCTTCTTTCAGTCTTTAATGGGACATCTGTCACCTCAAAGAACAGAACCAAGAGGCTGATCGATCGATTGATTGATACTTTATTAATCCCAGAGGGAAATTTGAGACATCCAGTATTATGTTATAATTATACAGAAAAATGCATAATGAATAATCAAAAAGAAGCGGAATACACACATTTGAAAGAAGACATACCTGTGCTCAAGGTGGTACATAATTTCATTCCACCTCATGTACCATATGTGATGTGAATGACAAGAACTTGGTAGGAAATACTACATTCATTATTAACATATATTCAGTTGAAACCAGAAGTTTACATACACTATTTAAAGAGACACATTTTTTTCTATAATGTCTGAGTGAAATCAGAATAAACTTCCTGGTCAGTTCAGATGACCAATAACTTTGTTCCATTTGCAAAATGCAAGAATAATGAGTGAGAATTTTTAAAGGCAATATTTATTACTTTCTTCAAACTCAAAAGGTTAAATGCACAGTATTTGGCACCATTGCCCTTAAACTGTATGACTTGGGTCAAACGTTGTGGATCTCCTTCCACGAGCTTCTCACAATAGTTGGCAGGAACTTTGGCCCATTCCTCCTGACAGAACTGGTGTAACTGGGCCATGTTTGTAGGCTGCCTTGCTCACGCATGCCTTTTCAGCTTTGCCCATAAATTTGATAGGATTGAGATCAGGGCTTTGTGATGGCCACTCCAGAACATTGACTTTGTTCTCCTTGAGCCAGTCTGTAACCAGTTTGGCAGTTATGCTTCAGGTCATTGTCCATTTGGAAAAACCATTTGCGCCCAAGCTTCAACTTCCTGGCTGATGTCTTGAGATGTTGCTTCAGTATTTCCACAAAATGTTCTTTCCTCATGATGCCATCAATTTTATGAAGTGCACCAGTCCCTCCTGCAGCAAAACAACCCCACAACATAATGCTGCCGCCCCCATGTTTCACAGTTGGGATGGTGTTCTCAGACTTTCTCCTCCAAACGTAACGATGGTCATCATGGCCAAACGGTTCAATTTTATGCTCGTCAGGACATGTCTCCAAAAACTAAGGTCTTTGTCCCTGTGTGCATTTACAAACATTAGTCTGTTTTTTTATGTTTCTTTTGGCTTCTTCCTGGCAGAGTGACCTTTCAGCCCATGTTGGTACCGTTTCACTCTTACCATCTTCACCAGGTCTTTTGCTTTTGTTCTTGTGTTGATCTGCACATTTCGGACCAAAGCACGTTCATCTCTGGGACACAGAACCCGTCTCCTTCCTGAGCAGTATGATGCCTGGACATTCCCATCTCTTTTAGATGAACGAGGCATCTTCAGGCATTTGGAAATCACACCCAAGGATGCACCAGACTTGTCCAAGTCCAGTTCTCTTCCTGACATGTTGGCTGGTTTCTTTCAACCCTCCCATGATGTTGCACAAGGAAGCAGTGTTGTTGTTCTTGAGGTTTTATTGGAGGTTGGCAAAAAACGTTGAGGTTGCATTACCACCACCTACCGGTATGTTGTTTGGCTCAAAATGTCTGTTTTATTCTATACAAATGTTATATTGTGTTAATAAGGAAGCAGTGTGTTTCAGGTGTTCCTTAAATTACATCCACAGGTGTGTCTCTAATTAACTCAGATGTTATCATTTAACCTATCAGAAGCTCCAAAGATTCAACATCAAATGTCCCAAATTGTTTAAAGGCATAGTAATCTTAGTGTATTTAAACTTTAGGTTTTGAAGAAAGTAATTAAAAGTTGCCTTTAAAAAATCTCATTATTCTGACATTTTACAAATAGAAAAGTTTTGGTAATTCTAACTGACCTAAAACGGAAAAAGTTGATTCAGATTTCACGTCGGTGTGGAAAAAATGCATGTGTCTTTTGTGTATGTAAACTTCTGGTTTCAACTGTATCTACAGTATACATGTACAATTTACAAATCACACTCACTGCAACAATAAAGACCTATCCATCTACATATTAAATGAGTATTCCACCCACTATGAATCTTTTCCTGAAGGGAGGTTATGATCGCTCTTTGAATGACCTCAGTTTTGAAACAGTCCAAGATCATGGCTGGTCTGAAACCAAAATTAGTTACTGCCATCTGGAAACAAACTAATGTAAAATATTTCTAAGCAGTTTGTAGACTAACGCTAAATTTTAATGTTGTCAATTTTGCAAAACAGATTTTTCAATAAAATTCTGTGGTGGTTTGGAGGCACAAATGCATCATCCAAATCTTAACACTTCCGGATCAGCTTGGAGCGGCATTTGTGCAACAAATTTACTCATCATGGACATTTTTTTTTTGGTTAGTCAAAGGGTTAAATGTGTGAGAAGTTTGGGAGGCTTTGGCAACATTAAACTTAATCATGACTTAACTGGAGACAGAAAAAAATAAGACTGCAGTCAAATGGAGACATATTTAAGACACTGACTAAATTGTGACAAAAAATACATGCAATTTGCAGTTATTAAAAAAAAGCAGCTGTTGCAATATATTTTCTGATAAGTATATACACAAACTTAAGTACCAATTCAGTTGAGTTCCAGGTTAAAGCTTGCACATTTTTTTTACAACTTTGTGTCTCCAACTACTGGTAGTTGAGCGATAAAGGCTTAAGAGCTGTAACTGAAGCTCATTGTGCAAATTCAATTGAAGTAATTCATTTTGAAAAGCAGTCAAAATAAGGTTTTTAACAAAACATGAAGATGAATTTAGTTCATTCATGCCTTAATATTGTTAGGACAGTCCAAAATATAGTTTCAAAGAATCAATTTTTTTATGGGCAAGTATATCTAGATATTAACTGCAGTTCATTAAAACAGAATATCTTTTTTCAAGAACCTAAAGGAAACGTAAAGTAGAATGAAAACAGAATGGGACTCAGGATGGAACTTTGAGGAACTCCACATGTAAGCAGAGCTTCAGCTGTAATACTACTGATCTATAAACTCTAGAACATTAAACGGTTCTATAGAGTGAAGGAATGCGGGATAGGAGTAACAGATGTCTCAGATCACAATGCAGTCTACCTAAAAATAATCTAAACAAGAGGAAAAATAGCACATGGAGACTCATGGAAGGAATATTAAAAAATAAGGGACTGGTTAAGGAAGTAAAAAGGGAAATAATTAAATACAAGGAAGAAAATGATAATGGGGAAGTAGACCCAACAATTTTATGGGATACCATGAAAACAGTAATAAGAGGAAAGATGACTGCGTACACAACGTTCACAAAAAATAAAATAAAATAATTGGAAACGTATCAAACACAGAGTTAAAAAACTGGAGCAACAACATAAACAAATGACCCAGCAACACTCAATCAGGCTAAAGAAGCCAGAGGAAAAAAAATAGATGAAATCCTGTTGGAGGAGGTGGAAGAACAGCTAGATTTACAAAACAGACATTTTATGAAGGTGGACCTGCAGCTACTAAAAACCTGGCCAGACGCATAAACAAACAGCAGGCATTAAGTAATATACATAAAATAAGAGACGCACTAACCAATGAAATCTGATATGAACCAGAAGAAATACAAAACATTTTTTTGAAGAGTACTACAGTAACTTGTACACCCAACCTCCCTCTGAGGGGGAGGAGGCCATGCAAGAGTTTTTGGACAAATTAGATCTGCCAGCAGTAGGTAGAAAACAAAATGAGATACTGACTTCAAAAATAACAGTTGAAGAGATAAAAAAGGCAATTAGTCGGGCTAAGTCGGGGAAATCACCAGAAGCAGATGGACTGGGGGCATCTTTCTACAAAACTTTTAAAGAAGACTTAATCCAACTCTTAAATGATTCATTTAATTATAGTTTCAGAACAGGCAAGAGCCCTCCCTCCTGGAAAACTGTGATCATCTCTGTTATTCCAAAGGAAGGTAAAAATCAGGAATATTGTCACAACTATAGAGCAGTATCAATCCTAAATGTGGATTATAAACTTTACACCTCTATCATAGCTAAGAGATTAGAGAGTATAATGCAGGACCTGACTGATGAGGATCAGACTGGTTTTATTAAAGACAAGCAAACACAAGAAGAACTCTACATGTCATGGATCATATACAAAGGCAAGGAGACAGCACAGTCTTAGTCAGCATAGATGCAGAAAAGGCCTTCGATAGTGTAAAGTGGACATTCCAGATATGTTGGACTCTTGTAGGCTGACCCTTCAAACACCACATCTCCTCTCAGAACCATTTCTGTCAGCTGATGGCTTCAGGCAGATCATCTGCTGCAGCCATGCTTCACTCCCCTCAGTAGGTCTTTGTGGAACCTGGAGATGTGTTTTCAATCATCAGCCTGTTGAAAAATAATGTTTCTGATAAACGGGACAGAATGGCATGTTACTGCGGAGCACGGCTGCTAAGTGAGTTGACTTTCATTTACAAATGAATCCAGAATCACTTTTGTTGTTCTGTGTCCAGCAGAAACAGAATATTAGACCAAGAGACATTTGGACAGAC